TTTTTGTGAAGAGTGAAAATGCACGCCATAAGATTTAACGTCGAGAATCTTTATCCCCCTCCATCCCATCTACTTCCTCTAGTTTTTTAAAAATTTGTTTAAGCCCTCCGTTACTTTATTCACTTGACAGCAGTCCGTTAATTAGTCCGTCTCCTCTCCACTACTGTAAGTGGTGTATTAGGCTCCCCGAATGCACACAAAATTTAGTGCTGCTGCCCTTCTCAAAACAAATAAAAGATTTGTGAACTAGCCACCACGCATCCAATGTAATTAAACGGCATTTGTTTCTTTTTCGGCGTGCGCACACAATCAGGGCCTTGTGAGAGTCCAGCACTACCCGAATAAGACTGTTTTTCTTTTGGAGGGAAGCGTGCCAAAAATCCTACCACCACAGGTAACCTAAGATCCCAGCAAGCAGCAAAGGGACAGTTGAAACCAGAATGACGGGGTGTGGGGAGAGCTATATGAATGTGACTATATCTATGGCTATATATATATTTATATATATGCAAACATGCCCATACAGGGCTGTATAGTTCTTTAGGGGGGAAAATCTGGGAGGGTGATGGAAAACCTCCTAGAAATTACCACCTCATGCATAGGTATGTAAATGACTGTGGAGTCTTGCTGTCCACGGCCTCCATCAATTGCAACGTTATTCAAGATAAAACAAACACCATTTCAATTAGCTACATATACAGTGGTGCTAAAGTTTTTTGGAGAATTGGACTTCTTTTTTTCTTCTTTAGAGGCACGCAAACAGAACTTTCCTTGAGATGCTCTGTGACAGCCATGAATCTCCATTCTAAGGTTGGTACAGGTTGAACCTCTCTAGTCCAGCACTCTTGGGACATGACCGGTTCCAAACTAGAGAATTTTCCAAACCACAGGAGGTCAATATTGTCTAGCAGTATTACCAACACTTCCTGGGCTCTTAGAAGACATTTAAAGGTAAATTAGAGCTAAATAACAGCACAGAGCACTGAGAGTTAGGATTGGTGGCTGGAAACAAACATTATGGGACCACAGGAAACTTGACCACACCCATGATTAGTGGACATGCGGCTAGCTAAAATAATTCCGGATGTCGGACATTTCTGGACCAGAGTTCTGGACTAGAGAAGTTCAACTTGTATTTAACAAAAAAAAAAGTCTATGCCAATTTATGTTAATCCTTTGCAGGATTCTATAAAAAGCTTAGAGAAGAAGCTGATGTCTAATCTAGTGCATCATTCTATCTAAGCAGATAGAGCCCGATGTGCAAGGACTTATAAACATGCTTAATGCCTGGGATTTCACTAGCATTGTTCATGTGCTTAACGTTATTATTAGTATATGTGATAGGGTTGCAGGTCAGGACTACATTTTGGAGAGGGACCACCAGGTGGTTCTGAGGTAAAGGATGGTTTGTAATGGGAAGGATGTTCTTGCACTTGGTCAAGAGTCAAACACTCATTTCCCAACTATGCCACAGATTACAGCTGCTTGGGAATGTTTTGACTTTTTTTTCTGGAAAATGCAGATTCCTCCAAACCGATACTAGCCACGAAATGACTCTCCCAATCTGAAACATTCTTGGGGGAAAAAAAAAGATTTGAAAACAAAATTCAGCTATTTAAATTGAAATGCTGTTTTGTTTGGAAATTTCAGTAAATTCCAATTATAAAAAGTTAGAAAATGAGGAAAAATGTTTCAAAATGTTGTTTTACAAAAATGTTTGAGATGGTAACATTTTTATTCTAGTGCATGAAGGGAAAAATGTTCAAAAATCCTGAAATCCTTGTGGGATGGGATGTCTGTTTCCGTAAATGAGCAATAAATATATAATGATGATAGTACAGGTTGAACCTCTCTAATCCAGCACTCTCTGTTCCTGCAACATCCATGGTCTGGCATGATTTTCCTTAGCTGGATGTCCATTTATGATGGGTGATGTGGCCAAGTTTCCTGCGGTCTCATAAAGTTTGTTTTCAGCCACCACTCCTGGCTTTCAGTGTTCTGTGCTGTTATTTAGCTCTAAATTTCCCCTAACTGTCTTTTAGGATCCCAGGAAGAAGTGGCAATGCTGGTAATACTGCTAGACAATCTTAACATTTTGTGGCTCAGCAAATTCTCTGGTTTGGCACTGGCCTGGTCCTAAGGGTGCCGGACTAAAGAGGTTCAAACTATACATTGTACCATACAGGCTGAGAGATATAATCACAGAGGACATATTTGTTTGAAGAGTGGGGTATCTAATTCATGTCAAATATTTCAATTAATTTCACATCTTTTTCTTGTTGTTGTCATCCATGACCGACTTTCCATTTTCTCAAATGTATTTGTCCATAAAAATTATTCAGCAGATGTCTGGTCAAAAGTCTTGGCCTGTAGTTTGTTCAGCAAGGCTACATTTACACTGTGCATTGTTGCACAAGAAGATATGCACCTCATTTGCATATGTTCTTGCACAAGACTGGCCAGTGTAGATGTAGCCAATATTATATGAATCCAACGAGACTCAGATTTTGAATATTAAACTCCCATGACAAACTCTTGGGCTACGTCTACACTGCGCATTGTTGTGCAAGAAGATATGCAAATAAGGCATGGCGATGAATATTGCTGCACCTCATTTGCATACCGAATGAGCTGCCATTTTTGTGGAAGGGGCTTTTGTGCAAGAAGGAGCTGTCTACACTGCTCCTTCTTGCACAAAAACCCCCTCTTGCGCAGGAGCCATTCTGCCTCTTATTTTCAGGAAGAACGGCTCCTGTGCAAGAGGGCTTTTTGCACAAGAAGGTGGCTCATTAGGTATGCAAATGAGGCATGGTGATATTCATCACCACACCTCGTTTGCATATCTTCTTGCACAACAATGCACAGTGTAGACGTAGCCCAAGAGTTTGTCATGGGAATCTGATATTCAACATATGTGTCTCGTTGGATTCATATAATATTGGCTACATCTACACTGGCCAGTCTTGCGCAAGAACATATGCAAATGAGGGCGGCAATGAATATCACCATGCCTCATTTTCGTACTTATTGCTGCTCCTTCTTGCGCAAAACCCCCTTCTTGCGCAAGAGCCATTCTGACTGCAAATAAGCGTCAGAACAGTTCTTGCACGAGAGGGACTTTTTGCGCAAAATGGAGGCTCATTAAATATGCATATGTTCTTGCGCAAGAGAGCGCAATGTAGACGTATCTTTAGACTGGGCACCTAGGTAACATGGTATTGTTTCTTTTCACTAACTGGATGAGTGTCACTTTTAGGATCAGGTATCCGGTTGAAATAATCGCATTTGTTAATTTAATATGTGTAAGGAATGAGCACAAAGCTTGTATCTATCACCCCGCAAGAGTTTTCTGTGGGATTTAAGTGATATATCAATCTTAGTAGAGAGGAGAATTTTGACCCTGTCATAGAGATGAATGAAAATCTTGGATCCAAACATCCTTCAACAGGATGGGAGGGACAGAATCTATTTCCAGAGCTGGATCAAAATTACACAGCCAATGTTCTGTCTCTATAATGACTGGAGTGGAGAGGGAGCAGTAAAGGTCCCACTCCCGGGTATCCCAATGACTAGGGCTCACACCTGACTGTGGGAAATCAAGATTCAAGTCCTTGTTCTACCATTTTCCTTTATTCCAGCTAAATATTATCATCATTGGGTTAGCTTAGCTGAGGTGAATCTTTGCCTCTTTTGGACTAGAACTTCCATCCTGGACACAAGAATCTTTTTCCTTGGAAGTTTTGTCAGAAATAGCACGACAGGTTTTTGGTTTCAACAACGTGACATTTTTCATTGAAAAGCCATTTTGTCCCAAAATTCCCAACCAGCTTTTATAATGACCCAGATCAAGACCTCAGATTCTGAACCACCTGGGGGCAACTGCAGGTAGAGACAGATGTTCACTGTCTATGAGTGCACACCTCAACACGCCTTCAAATCTGAGTGCGCACCCAGGCTATCTCTACATTGCAGCGCTATTTCAGGATACAGAATTATCCTGAAATAACTATCCCATGTCTTAACAACAAGCCTGTTATTTTGCACTCGCTATTCTGACATCCCTGTACACCTCATTCCACCAGAAGTAAGGGATGTTTTGGAATAAGCTATTTCGAAATGAGATCGAAATAATACACACAAAAGTCTCAGGAGGTAGCCATGTTAGTCTGTAAGGCTTTTCATAATAACATTTGGCAACCCCTCTTTCTTGTCCCATGAATGAAACTACACAGATTCTGTCATCTCAGCCAAATGGTAGCATAAGCGATTTTCCTTTTGAGCCAGCACCAGGAGCTTTGGATTTAAGTCTTGGCTCTGCCGTGGGCCTGCTGGGTGACTTTGAACAAAATTGCTTCCCTGCTCTGTGCCTCAGTTTCCCCACCTGTACAATGGAGACATTGGTTCTGACCAGCTTTTCAAAACACTTTGAGATCTACAGTTTAAAAAGGAGCATATAAGGGCTAGGTATTATTTATTTATTTATTATTATTATTAGTAGTAGTAGTATCTATATAGGGATCCTAAAAATCAATTCCTTAGCACATTCTGGTTCCTGAGTGATGCCCTGCCCAAAATCTGGAACTTTCCCTTTAAGACTGTTGCATTTTCAGTTGAGTTTCCTTCATTCCATTCATGACAGGCTAAGGACACTGGTGGCTGATTTCTGCTGTCTTCCCCCACCCCAGACCACCTGGAAGGAGGCAAAGGATATACCCAAAAGATTGCCCTGTGTATCCAGATCATTATATAGCCAGGAGAGGACTCCATAAAAGCCAGAGCACAGAAGAAGGAAGTGCTGACGCATTTTCAGTTGAGTTTCCTTCATTCCATTCATGACAGGCTAAGGACACTGGTGGCTGATTTCTGCTGTCTTCCCCCACCCCAGACCACCTGGAAGGAGGCAAAGGATATACCCAAAAGATTGCCCTGTGTATCCAGATCATTATATAGCCAGGAGAGGACTCCATAAAAGCCAGAGCACAGAAGAAGGAAGTGCTGACGTCCTCAGGCAAGGAACAGGTAAGACTTTCTGTAATAGATACGACTCGTAGGCTGGATCCGACCCACCATTTGATCCAGACTGCAGCCTGCCCTGCCGCTCCTCTGCCCCCAGGCCGATCAGGACCTGGGGCGGGGGTGTGCACAAAGTCATTCACTGTTCAAAGCAGCTGGCAGCTCCCACCAGCTCCCCTCCCTTGGCAGGGCGGAGCGCTGCCTAAAGGGAGCCACCAGCCCTTTTGAACAGGGAGTGACTTCACGCACTGCCCCGCCCCCAAGTCCCGACTGAAGTCTCTTTCCCCTGCCAGGGGCGCACAGCGCCTACAGGGAACTGCCCCTTTTCACCTCAGGCTCTGCCCCTTTCCACCCAAGGGTGTGGACAAGTTTCCCATGGTCCCATAAAGTTTGTCCACAGTCACCAGTCCTGGCTGTCAGTGTTCTCTGCTGTTATGTAGCCCTAATTTACCCCTACATGCCTTCAAACAGCCCAATAAGCAGTGGAAAGGTTAGCAATGCTGCTAGACAATATTGACCTCCCATGGCCTGACAAATTCTCTGGTTCAGTACCAGTCAGGTTCCAAGGGTGCATATTACAGCCATTCCAATGGACAACACAAGGAAGTTGTGATGAGGGGTATGTAACCATAAGTGGGATAGGAAGGAGGCATAGGCACAAGAACTAGGGGTGTGTGGGGGGGGGGAGAGGCTCCCCAGCACCCAGGCTCCCAGCTGCTGGTCCCACATTCAGGGGACTCTGTGTGCTAGGGCTTTGCTCCCAGCCTCCACTGAGGGTGGAGGTGGACAGAGGAAAAGGGGCTCCACCCCTCCACTTGTAAAAATCTTCCCATGCCACGGAAGGGAGGGAGCAAGATGCAGAAGAGCACTCTGAGTTTTGCGGAGTGTATCATGGGAGAGGCGTCTTTTTTAATATCTTTCTGAGGTGCCCCAAGGGAAAGTCAGGAGTTAGAAACAGCCCCACCTGAGTGTGTCTTGGGAGGAAGCCTACCGTCTCATATTTTTTAAAAGGAAAAAATAACAATAATAATAATAATAGGCCTGAGCCAAGAATATCAAGCCGTTGCTAGCTGTTAAAAAGCCAGGAAAGCTATGTCGCACCCATTCCATGTTTTTCTTCCAAACAAGCTGACCACCCTCCCTTCATAACGTCTTATTTATGAAAGTCAATGTTGCCCAACTGGAATCAAACTTTGCCATAGAGATTTTTTTTTAACTCAGCCAGAAGGTGTCCTGATTTTAAATGTCTGTTCCTTGGAAGTGTGCAGAAGTGGGTGGGTGTTGGTGGCTGGGTGTGAGAGACGTTCTGGTTGTCATAGAGCACTTTGGAAGGTTGTCTGCAAAGCTTGTCTTGGACATTTACCGTCTCCTCCACATATGGGGTATGTCTAAACTCCATGCCTCTGTCGCTAGAGTCATGTCAATTAGACTACCTGAAATAGTCAGTGAAGCGGGGATTTAAATATCCCCGGCTTCATTAAAATAAAAATGGCCGTCACGCTGTGCCGGCTCAGCTGATCATCAGATCAGCGCGGCAGACAAGACGCGGATCAGTCGACAAGGGAAGCCTTTGTCGACCGCTCCTTATGCCTCGTGGAACGAGGTTTACAGGAGCGATCGACAAAGGCTTCCCCTGTCGACCAATCCATGTCTTGACTTGTGCACTGTGCCGACAATCAGCTGAGCCGGCACAGCATGGCGGCCATTTTTATTTTAATGGAGCCGGGGATATTTAAATCCCAGCTTCACTGACTATTTCAGGTAGTCTAATTGACATGCCTCTGTCGCCAGAGGCATGTAGTCTAGGCATACCCATGGTGTTTTGACATCTCTATCAACTGAAGGCCCCCATTGGTCAAACTCATCATTCAAACACTATCTCTTTCTCCTGTCAGTAGCTGCATTGCCTAATAAAGGTAATTCCACTCTTCTAAGGAGTGGGGCCTAAAAAGCCCAACAATCGCCAAGCATCTCTTAGGTAAAACTTTAGTAATGATACAAAATACAGCCATTTATAGTAGACTTTGATGGAGTTACTGGTAGAGGTTGAACCTCTCTAGTCTGACACTCTGGTCTGGCAACATCCGTGGTCCAGCATGGTGTTAGTTAGGCAGATGTCCACTTATCATGGGTGTGGCCAAGTTTCTCGTGGTCCCATAAAGTTTGTTTACAGCCACCAGTCCTGGATCTCAGCGTTCTGTGCTGTTATTTAGCTCTAATTTACCCCAAAATGCGCTCTACGAGCCCAGTAAGCAGTAGAAGTGTTGGCAATGCTGCTAGGCAATATTGATCTCCCACAGTCTGGCAAATTCTCTGGTTCAGCTCTGGTCAGGTTCTGAGGATGCCAGACTACAGAGATTCAACCTGTATTCCAGATGCTCGCTCTAAAATAATGGGGTGCCCATTTCTTTTTCACTTTCTCTCCTCTTCCCTTGTCATCATTGCTGTGAATGGAGAAAGACGAAGAGAAGAAAGGGGAATATATATTAGCAGGCCAAAGTATGAGAGGGAAAGGAGAGGAAGACAAAAGAGAAAATGGGGAAAAGGGATGGGGAAGTAAAGAGAGGGAGAATGGGAGAGAGAGAAAGGAACAGGGGGATACAAAAAAAAGATAGTAAAGTTTTAGGGCAGGGGTTATCTATTATTCTGATTGTCAAGGAATTAATTACACTGTTAAGCTGGAATTTTAGTTTCTACATCAGTAAGGGTACGTCTACACTAGCCCCCTAGTTCGATCTAGGGAGGTAAGCCTGGGATTTAAATATCCTGCACATGATTATCATGTTCCTGGGCGGGCGCCATTTTTAAATGCCCGTAGTTCGAACAACCTGCCCACGGCTACACGCGGCAAAGTATCTGCCCGCGTCTACACGTGGCAGAGAAGCGGGATTCCGAGATAAACCCTTTAGTTCGAATTAACTGTTAAACCTCATTGCACGAGGAGTAACAGTTAATTTAAACTTAGGGGTTTATCTCAGAATCCTGCTTCTCTGCCGTGTGTAGACGCGAGCAGTTACTTTGGGCTAGTCAGTTTCCAAAATGCTGACCGGACGGGAATATGCTAATCAAGCATGGGATATTTAAATCCTGCGCTTCATTAGCAATTTCGGTCGTCCTCATTAGCCTCCCTAGTTCGAACTAGCTCTAATCCTACCCTCCAAAGCACTACCAGCTTGCTATTGTCCATGAACTTTATAAGCATTCTCTCTATGCCGTTTTCTAAATCATCAAAGAAGATATTGAACAGAACTAGGCCCAAAACTGAACCCCCTCAATATGTCCTCCCAGCCTGACTGTGAACCACTGATGATTACTCTCTCGTAATACTTATCCATCCAATTATGCACCCACATTATAGTAGCTTCATCTAGGTTGTATTTTGCTAGTTTATTAATGAAAAGTTCATGTGAGACTGTACCAAATACCTTACTAAAATCTAAATATAAAATATCTACCACTTCCCCCTTATCCACAAGCCTTGTTATCCTGTCAAAGAAAGCTATCAGGTTGGTTCATCATGATTTGTTGTTGTTTTTTTCAAATCCATTCTGAGTGTTACTTATCACCTTATTATTAGAGCCCTGCAAACTTGTGTATATCCGCTTTATATCTATGGATATCTGCATTTGTAGATGTGGCTGCAGATATCCCCAGTGCATATTTACAGATACGGATGTGGATGTGAATACAAACTTTGTATCTAGAACCCTGCACATTTGTAGATTTCTGGTTTGTATCTGTGGGTATCACCATTTGCTTTTGCATGTGTAGATGCAGATGCAGATGCAGATACCAATTTTGTATCCGCGCATGGCTCCACTTATGATCTTCTAGACATTTGCAAATTGATTATTTGCTCCATTATCTTTTCTGGCACAGAGGTTAAAAAGATTAGTATGATTGTCCTTATTTTTCTCTTTTTTTTAATAGATGAGTGCTATAGTTGCCCTTTTCCAGTCTTCTGGAAACTCTCTCGTATTCCATGACATTTTCAAAGATAATAGCTAATGGTTCTGATATCTCCTCAGTCAGTTGCTTGAGTATTATAGAATGCATTTCATCATGCTCTAGTGAACTGAAGACATCTAAGTTATCTAGGTAATTTTTAACCTGTTTTTTCCGTATTTTAGCTTCTGAAACTACCCCATTCTCACTCGGATTTCCTATGTTAGGTGTCCAGTCACTGCAAACCTTCTTGGTGGAAACCAAAACAAAGAAGTCATTAAGCACCTCTGCCATGTCCACATTTTCTGTTAGGCTATGTCTACACTGCAGAGCTATTTTGGGATACCGGAAGTATCCTGAAATAGCTATTCTGTGTCTTTTGAGAGTGTCCGTTATTTCAAAATATAACTGGCTCACTATTCCAAAGTTCCTGTAAACCTTGTTCGACGAGGGTTAAGGGACACTTAGGATTAGCACTTTACACAGCACCAAATTTTGAAATAAGCTATTTTGAAATTACCTCAAAATAAGCTACACAATTTGCGTAGCGCAAATTGCGTAGCTTATTTCGAGATAAGGGTGCAGTGTAGACGTACCCTTATTGTTTTCCCTCTTCACTGAGTAACAGGCCTACCCTGTCCTTGGTTTTCCTCTTGCTTCCAGTGGATTTGTAGAATGTTTTATTGTTACCCTTTATGTCTCCTTCACAAGGATAATCCTATGGTGCAAAGTGTGATATAGATAAACAAAAGGGAGGGAAAAACTGATTATTCTTATATGCATTATTCCTTCACAAGGATAATCCTATGGTGCAGAGTGTGATATAGATAAACAAAAGGGGGGAAAAAACTGATTATTCTTATGCATTAAAATAACATCTAGAACAGGGCTAGTCAACTTTGGAAGCCCCAGGGGCCACAATGATACTCACAGCACATGCTGAGGGCCACAACCTAAGTGTGGTTGCATATACATGCAAATATATATGCAAATATATGCTAATAGCTTATTTCACACTGACAGGCATGAATACAAAGATTAAGGCAAGACTACTCAACACA